TCATTTTTTGTGCATAAATTAGGCCATTTGTTTTCTCGTTTGAATTGTTTTACATTGTCATTTCGGGGCCTTTGATAGCTGACTATTCGGTATGGGCTTTGCTCATTGGTGAAGGCCGTACGGTGATCTAAAGTTGTTTATTTCTGTGTCATTTGGTCTCTTGTGGAGAGTTGTCTCATTGGCAATCCTACCACTATTCTTTTTTATATAGACAACCGAACGGTATACCATAATACGTCCTGTAAATGTGCGAATAGAAATGAACATGGGGAATAAACATTGTATCCACTTACCAAATTGCTATTGTGTGAAACTCATCAATTACAATCAACTTAATGTTCAACTTCTTTAAACAAGTTCTCCAATAGGGATCACCAACCAATGTGTCTGGAGATGCAAAAATGACATCTATCAACCCCTCTTTGATTCGATCGTCACTCTGGGGGAGACGATCCTAAAATGCAAAAAAAAAATGTAGGTGGGCAGTCTCCAAAAAGACATATTTCTATGATAACTTCTATAATTTAAATGTACACTGTGCAAATACCCTTTCTCCATTTCACTGCGTTTGATTAAAGATTGAAATTTAATGAAATAATTCTTATTGTTGTAAAGTCCAATACAGAAATGAATATAGCTGAGATTTCAATGAATGCATGGCATATTTTCTCGATTTTGAGATGTTTCTGCCAATTTACCTGTTTGGCCATCCAACAAGGTCATTTAGACTGCACTTTTTCATATTTTTTTTTTATTTTGTCATTGTTTAACACAAATAACAATCTAATTTAGAAATTAAGTTTCCCGCATGTTTCTGGGCCATGTAAAGTTGACTATGCTGTATGATTTTGCTCATTGTTGAAGGTCAGATGGTGACCTATGATAGTTGTAAACTTTGTCATTTGTTGTCTGGTGGAGAGTTGAGTTGGCAATTATACTTCAAGTCTTGTACATGTACGACATCTTCTTATTCTTATATGCATGTATATTTGTTTTGAGATAGATTATTAGTAAATGTAATTAACAACATTTCCCTTGGACTCTGGTGCTTCATTAATACAACATGCAGTAAATAACTTTATACAAAGTATGAAGAACTAGCATTATGGCCAAAACGACTGTAAAATACTGGCAATATGACTGATACAATCTGTTCTCGGTGAAATGAGACAAATTTATGTGCTACCATGGCTACAATCTACTGCTTCTGCAGTTTTGTTTAATTTTGCTCATGTTTATCTAAGTTTCATATTACTGCTTTGTTACTGTTCAACAGTAAGTCATGTGTATGTATTGATATACTGAAGTTTAAATGTATGTTCCTGCAAATAAATTTTATCTTCTTTGATAAGGCATACATGTACATCTTTGCCTGATCAGATGCGGATCCAGGACTATAAAAAAGGGGGCCCTGCATCTAGGCACCATAAGGTGTAGGAATAACGTCTTATGATAGAGGCATTACATAAATTATATAAGTAGCTCCAACAGCATAGGCGGATCCAGGGGGGCCTGGGCCCCCCTTTTGTGGGAAACATTTTGTTGATTATATAGGGAATCACTGAAGCATGACTGGAGTGGGCCCCCTCTTAGGTCAATCAGTGGGCCCCCTTACAAAAAGTTTTGGATCCGCCACTGTACAGGGGGATAACATGTCATCCCCTAACTGATTTCTCAGGTGTTATAAACATCTTTATTATACAACACTGCCAGCATAATAATTATAATATAAATTAGATGTTTAATGGCATTAAATACTATAGTATAGACTATTCCATTTATTGAAGCCTTCCTACCACTGCATGCTTAAAGTTATACTAACCTTTGTATGCAGCAGTATTATTTCCAATGTGCAAGAGTTTTTCCACCTGGTCCTGCATCAGAGCTACTAAGGGACAACAGACTAAAACTTTAGAGTCAGAACTGTTTTCAATAACCTCCCGGACAACTGGAAGGTACAGTTGAAACGGTAGTGACTTGCCAAAACCAGTCGGGAGTACAGCTACGCAGTTCTTCTTGTTAACTAAACAATCTAAAATTTCCTTTTGCTCCTTCTTTATATCATTTATACCAAATTTTGGCAAAACTTTTGTCAAAACGTTGTCCAAACTGGGCGCATCCATGTTTTTTAACGATCCGATAATGGTATACAAGCCCGTCGCTGATTGGTTAATCGAAATTGATTTTCTGCACGCTGATTGGTCGGTCAAAGTTCACCAAATTTGACCCTAGACATGACCCTCAAGCGGTTGTTGTTAGATCTCCCACGCGCGACATATAAACAACGAGGAGCAAGTGCGGAGATTTAATTTTAATTAGATTGAGGTACACATAGTGTGTTGCGCGGTTGATCTGACTTTGACAAGATTTACATTGTCGATGGTTCAAAAAATAAGTGGTGAATTCGGTATCCCAGATACTATATTGAAATATTGGGGGATGTACATTAACGACTGACAGGGTTATTTGACCTTTACCTCATTTTCATGGATCATTTGGAATCATTTAGTTTTATTTTATTGTTATTATTATTATTATTATTATTATTTATTATTATTATTATTATTATTATTATTATAATTATTTATTATTATTATTATTATTATTATTATTTATTTAGTTGTTTTCATGTGAATATTCTTTTTTTATATAGAATTCGCAGATGCTCAGATGACAATGAGAGAAATTAAATCTGACTTAGTTACATCTAGAGTTCCATTTCGTGACTACCAAACTTATGTTTTATATCAGCTGTTTCCTACCCAAGACATAGAAACAAACCCATTACTTCACGACTCAAAGGTAACATTTTTATATCAATTTTAAATAATTAATGCAAGTTTTTTTATTCAAATAGTATAATACTATTGGTCAAGTTATTGTCACATGATCATGTGATATGTCAGATTTCAATAAAAAAAATGCACAAATATAAAGCGTTATATGTATAATGTTTAAGTCTCAGTTATGCAAAACCCACCAACATGTTGATGCATGAAACATATAAACATGTATCTTAAAAAAATACAGATAAACTTGTTATTGGCTTTGAACTAGCTTTCAGTAACTGCGAGTACTCTCATATGTATACTTTTGTGTCTTTGGTGTTTTTCTGTGGGTTTTTGTGCTCTCTATCGATCAGATGCGTGAAGCTGTTGTCAACTGATTTTTATAGTTCTTATGTTGTACTGGTACACCACTGTCTCCCATGTTATGTGGATGGTTTGGCACCATCAAACATGTTTATCTCTCCACATTCCGTATGTGCATGTTCAAGGAGCCTGTAATTCAGGGGTGGTAGTTTGTTGCTGTATATCGAATAGTTTTTTTATTACTGTTACATTTGGTATATGTACATACATCGGGCCGTTAGTTTTTCTCGTTTGAATTGTTTTACATTTGTCATTTCGCAGATTTTTATGGCTTACTATTGTTCGGCATTTTCATACATAATGAAAATGCCCACACATGTTTTATGTAGCAATAAGATAGTGAAGAAAATTAAAACAGGGGATAATGAATTTCTTTTCCTGTTATATATGATTACAACAAGGCTGTCAATATACTTCGATGAAACAAACAAACGAAAAACATCTACGAACATCACATTTGTTCAGATATCCTGACTTGGTACATAGACGGAGGTGGGGTTAGACCAAATTAAAGTGCACAACCCACCTATTTTCTAACCTGAACATTTTGTTAAAGTAAAACCAGCAATAAGAATACATCTAGACATAGTCGGTAATTTGTTGAGTACTGCTTGGTTCGTTGCTGACGATCGTTTTAAAAGTCAATCGTAATGGCTTTCTTATGAGAACTAGTTATGGGGAATACAAATAGAAGCGCTGTTTCTTTCATTAGGGTCATCAGATGTGAGTTGGATATGTTTTCGGGAAGTCATACCAATTGTAATTTTTTTAACTACTTTTCTTCCTTTGAAAGGCATTTCAACGTGTGGATTGAAACATGTTTTCATTTTTAATTGCTTAAATGCTTCATATTTAGACTAAATATGCTTCGGTCCAGGCTTTCAAACTCTTCATACTACATTTTGTGTTGTTATAAGAAATACAGTCAGTTTGCGTGAGGACCAGACATTCTGATTAGTCAAATTTAACTAATGCCAGTATTCTTTCATAAGACAGATTGTTCAGTTATGATTTTTCTCGTTAAAATCTTCTGCGCTATTTTATAAGTGTTTCAAGAAATTTAACAACGCAGTACATTTTAGATTCGAATATATAACGGTTTCATACATTTGCTGGCCATTTACAATGAAAACGTTAAATTCCAAAAGTACAAATTGCTCAATTTTTTTTTTTTATTTGATAAATTAAGACTTTATTAAAAATTTCAATAATTTCTATCTTTAAGGAGTTTTGATTGCTGTATAATTTTATTTGGAATAAACATATTTTACCCAATCATTACGAATACATAAAGCTAGCATCATTATCAATAACAGTTACGGTTTGAATAATTGTGTTCTTAATGTCCGATAACCAATGCTTAATCGCCAGTTTTCGGATTTCCAAACTCCTATAAAGGACACTTCACAGTCACCATCAAGAGCAGGCTGAATAATACGGTGCTCTTATATATAAACTCACTAAAGACGATACATTTTGTACTGTTGAAGGGTACCAGAATAGTAGTGTTCATTGTACATTTACCAATTTTCTACCAATCTTTATTGAGACACTTTGAATGCGTCTTAATTTTCATGGTGGGTGATACATGCAGATCAGGAGTCACATGCCCTGTCAACACAACTGGTTTAGCTCCTTATGGTACTTGGTTTGTATATTCTAAGTGGATTTATGACGATGTACGATATTTGAACATCACCTAACAACTGTCGGCTCTTATTTCTATGACATATTATGTTGTATAGATAGTCAACAGGCAAATATATTCCATATTTCTACTTATTTGAATACAACATGTACTATGTTTATGATGTTTATTTGTAAAGTTCAACGTAATCTAATATCCTGATTTCAGGTAACAGATAACAATGAACCTAAAATGAAAGCTGCATTGGAAAAATTTGATCTGCTGTTGAACAATAAACTATTTTTGAAGACTCTTGTCCAAACATTAGATCGTAAAAATATGCTTACAATGCAGGAAAAGTGAGTAATGGTTATGATTATTCCTCACACACAAAAAAAATCACATTTCCTGACATCTTACAACAGATGATGTGTATATGTTAAGCCCTACATGCCCAAAAACATTAATATTTATAAGATGTTGTACCTGTTATTGACCCCACGTGACAGTTTGAATAAAAACGCAATCTATTTTGTATGGACAGATAAAAACAAAACCGTTACCTATACAAACAACGCAGAACTTTATAAATATCTTGGTCTTTTGTTGCATACAAAGTTGGTATTAACCAAGAAATGTTTTTATTTTGTATTATATTTTATTATACTTCATGTCAAAACGCCAGATTTTGATTAGCTAATACGAGGGAGACAATTTACTCTATCCCATGGCAAATACTCTATTACCCTTCACGGAGACGCTTACTCAAGTGTGCGCTTTAATAAATACGGATGATTGTTATGTACAAGACGACACAGTTTATTACTTTGAATTTGAAATTTAATAGACAGTAATAACAGAGCATTCAGTATAATAAATTAAATAACACACATCTGAGAGGGTGATAGAGCAAATTGTTACCCCTCGAAAAGACATTGTCAACCTTGGCCTCGCCTCAGTTGACAATGTTTTTTTTCGGGGTAACAATCTGCTCTATCACCCTCTCAGCTATGTGTTATTTATATAATGTTCACTGTATGCTAAAATGTCTTCTTGTCAATTACAAGCTTAATAATGATACAATAACTTCATTAGTTATCTTCAAATGTCTTAAAATATTTGTTGCAGGGCGCATTTCTCCTCTGTTTTGTCGATCGCATTGCTTGGAAACATGAGACTATTGTTTGAGTAAGTATCAAAACGGGTTTAAAAAAGTATGTTCTATTTAAAGAATGTAGTAATATATGGAAGGGTTGGCATTGGCCTATACGAACTTAAATGAGAAGAGCCTTCATAGGGAGGATATTTGATTGTATTTTTTGTCTACCCCAAATATAATACAAACTTATTTTAGATGTTTTAAAAATATAGTTTTTAAGATTATATAAAAAGGGATAGGGTTATACGTTAATAAAAATGCAACCCAAAGACACTAAATATCAATGCATAAAGACGTCAACTATGTAGCAGATATGTAAAATTCAGTAAGCTCCTTCTCGTGTTGTACCATGACACGGTACATGCATGTATTCCATTCTATTATTTCAGTGGTTTACGCAGCAATCAATATTTTTAATGTAATTCCGTATTTTAATAACAAATTTGTTAACCCGCACATTCAATTTGTAGTTTGGTAAACTGTTTGCTAGCAGATATGATTCATTCATCTACCAAAAAGCAACACAAGGTGTTATTCAGAAGGTAAGTGAGGTATTGTCTTCAACATCACACCATAATGTGTACTATTTGAATAATTGGAACGAATAGTTTAAAACATGTTTACATTGCTTATGGCTGTCAAATTCTTTATTTAAAAAGTTCAAATCATATCCTTTCTTTTAAATGTTTGATTACGTTGTTTTTGTATTGTGTATATTCAATTATAGTTTTCTATCTTTCAGATTTGACTCTGTTACCCTACGACTGATGACTAATTGGTTGCAAATAGGACTTTATGGACAGTTAACGGTAATTGTAAAAAATTAAGAAAGCAACCTTACTAAAAAAAAACCTAAGAGAGACCCATCAACTTCAGGATAACTTGCTGTAGTCGAAATATAAACATTATTAATAAGGACAAAAAGCAGAAGAGCAACTACAATACAATGCCTTATTCATCATTACAATCTCGGTATTAAAAGAGGGACGAAAGATACCAGAGGGACATTCAAACTCATAGATCGAAAACAAACTGACAACGCCATGACCAAAATAAAAAGACAAACATACAAATAATAGTACACATGACACAACATAGAAAACTAAAGTCTAAGCAACACGAACCCCACCAAAAACTGGGGGTGATCTCAGGTGCTCCGGAAGGGTAAGCAGATCCTGCTCCACATGTGGCACCCGTCGTGTTGCTTATGTTATTACAAATCCGGTAAATAGTCTAATTCGGTAGGTCACATTCGTGAAAAAGGAAGGATATTGTAGTTACGACATAAGGAACATATCCGATATCATCTGTGAAACGGTTATTCCATAACGGTCAACCAACTCGTGATGGCGTCCGTACTATTTACGAAGGCATGATTTCAACTTCACCATTTGGAATTCTTGGTTTAATAGCTTCCTTGTGAGCAGCAATCCTCTATCAAGGAAATCATGATAGGAAATACAAGCCCGGGAATATCGTATTAACCTATCTGCAAATTGTTCAAAAACTACAATTTAATAAAAATCGGTAGAAACGAAAGTTCCAACATATCGCTTACAATAACATATAATTGAATAACTATCAATAAACTCATCACCGATACCAGTATTGAAATTTTGTACCCCAGATGTGCGTTTCGTTTACAAAAGACTCATCAGTGATGCTCAAATCAAAAAAGTTAAAAAGACCAAATAAAGTACGAAGTTGAAGATGATTAAGGACCCACAATTCCTAAAAGTTTTGCCAAATACAAACAATACTGTTCTGTGTTGCCATATATATAAAGACGCTGTTAATTTGGAATATTCTGCCAAACTTGATTGATTTTGCTATGCAAAACATTTTTTAGAATAAGCATACTGTGGCTCAGCAGTGCAAGGTATTTTCCATAAAACACTCTTACATTGCTTCCATATTGTTTTAACATTTGTTACAAAAGAGAAAACAAAAACTTTGAATATATCATTAACTACTACTGACATTTCATGAATTTGATTAACTTATGAGAAATATCAAGTTATGTTTTTGTTTTATAATTATACATCATATAAAAGATTGTACTTCATATAAAATATGTTTACTTATGCAGTACAAGTTGCTAAAGTATAGTGACCCCTACATTTTCTAATAGTATTGAACAAGAGCTTAGGTCTCGTATTTTGTTGAATAATTCTCTCATTTAGGTTTCTTTTTTGTTACATTCTGTGTGACCCCCAAGTGTGTAAAAAATAAACAGAGATTTGAAGAATGTGAGTTTGTGATCAAACTTAAAAATTTTTTTAGTCATTTTCAGATAAAAAAAAAAACATCAATGGCGATGACATATCTTCGTGCAAAATGATTGCTTTTCGAAATCCATAAATAAAGCATAAATATAATAGATTTTGGTCCCATATCTAAATGGAAATGCATATGTTGAGAGTGACTAGATATTGAGTAAACATTAAAAATGCATTTTCTGAATTTGTTACTAGATTTGATTATGATCATGATATCAAGTTTATTCTTCATATTGGCAATTTTGTTTAACTTATTTGATGTTACATTTAGTGTGCATGCTCGTATATGCTCTAGGCTTTATAACCAACTATTGTCTTATCATAGGTCCACAGTGGTATGCACCTGTTTATGTTATACAAAGCTGTACAAACGATAATAGAAATGTCTCCAATAGATGCACTTACTGGTAACGCAAAGAACACCATTGCAGAAGAGAAGTTATTGAAAATGAGGATTGAACATCAACCGCTTGTAAGTGACAGGACATTTTAGGGCATGGTGTGAATTTGATATGGTTACTAAAAGGATTTCTATCTTTAGAGTATACGCAATATAAGACTTTTCCTCTTGCAGCAGAACATATATATTTGACTTTACTTAAAACTAGTATTCCTCATTTTGATCTTAACCATAGATTGAACAAATTCGTCCAAAGAAGATGCGAACGATACCAAGGGAACATTAAAAATTCATAAGCCGATTGATTGTTAGATGAATTGTCGGTTTCTTAACGCCCAATGGCAAATATTTCATGCATTTTCAGGACGAGAACAAATTAACAGTAAGTTGAGGGAAATTTATACTGCCGCTCAAATTGAGGGTATACAGGTCAGACAATCTTGTCAAAAATTTGAGATACAAATCTGTATAATTAACTGTCAACGAGATTAAACGAAAGAGTGTTTTATGACTATTATCTCTACAATCTTGTCAGCAATTAGTTTTGAAACAAAACCTATATTATAATCATACACGTTTTCAATGTTTACGGAATTGTGTTTCTTATTGGCGCTATATGTCCAACATTTTCCGTTTATTTAGACATTGCAAATAGACCTGAATGGAAATAGTGACGAGCATTATCCTGTGAGGGTCATCGACTGTGATACAATATCGCAAGTGAAACAAAAATGCTGTGCACAGATTTATAAGAATAAACCAGCTTCAGAAAGACCACGGAATGATGAACTTACTTTAGGTTTGTTACATTTATAACAAAATTATATCATGATTCAGGTGATCATTTTTTAATTTTAACAAATCGTTATCAAGCTAAACAATATGATAGTTTTTGTTTAACAATTCCAAATTAACATAACATATTCAATTGAAATGGCGTAATATAATTAAAAATATTATGAAATCTAAAGCTTAGGTACGTAGTGGCATGATTTTGATGATGCATTTCATTGTAAATTGTAAAAGATGCAGACTTCATACAGGAGCTTTTTATGAAGAATGAAAAGAAGCTAGCATTATTCTTAAACTTCGCGTTTCGCTATATAGATGATGTCCTCTCACTGAATAATTCAACGTTTGGTGACTATGTTGAACATAATTTATTCCATCGAACTAGAAATAAGGAATACAACAGATACATTTAAATTTGCCTTATATCGTGACTTACATCTACAATAAGGGCCAGTTGTGAACAAATATTACAGCTTCCAAATTGTGAATTGTCCATGTTTATGTAATAACATTACTGCACCGCCTGCATATGAAGTATATTTATCCCATCTCAAAAGATTTTCTGGAGCTTGCATCGCCTATCATGATTTCCTTGATAGAGGTTTTCTGTTTAAAAGGCGGCTATCAATAGTTCCAAGAGGTGAAGTTGAAGTCAACCCTTCAAATATTTTACAGACTCAATCAAACGAGTTGATTGACCGTTATGGGAAGTCTTTTTCACAGATAATAATTGATATTTTTCCATTGTCGTAACCATAATCTTGTTATGTGTTCTTCGAGTGTGACCTACAGAATTAGATTTATCTTCGGTGTGTCCTTGTTGTGTAAATTTCGACTTGTGTTATGTAAATAACTAGGTCTAAAGTTTAAACAAGTGCCTTTAAAAAGTTTTTGTTATCTGTATTTAAGTATCCATTGAATGTTGACCTTGAGTTTGTTTACATATTTGGACCTCTTTTTGCAGATTTCTAACGTAGACAATTCTCTGACGTAGGTCATCTATGCTGTATAATTATATTGTTGAACAGTTTTCAATAAAAAGCTGTCAAACTTTAAAGAAAGTGTTTATGTACATTTAAGATAAAGTGCACTTTAATATATACATTTGCTGTTGCAATTTAGCGTAAACACAACCAGTATTGCAACCAGGCTTTTTAGTCTTTGATGTGATTTTTTTTTATTATCTTATAACAACACATGGTCTTATCCATACGAGTGAAAAACGCAATATACGCTAAAGAAAGTTAAAATTTCGTAAATGATCAATTATTGAAAGCATACCAAAAAAAAAATTCAGTTTCATAATTATCTCTTCTAAACTTATGCTAAAGTCGTAACATCACCTTTAAATATAATGCCTTTTAGAATGGCAAGAAGGAAGCGCAGGGAAACTTATACTTGATGATATCGATAACATCAGTGATACAAGCAATGGATTGGTACGCCTAAATACCTTGAAACATTATATGGTCAAAGACAACTGTAAAATGGCCCTTATGTACAACCACCATGACGATCAGGAGGTTTATGGTAAATATTGATTTTACGGCGTATGAAGCAAATGTTCTACATTTATATGCATCGACCATTCTCAGAGGTAAATATTGGAAAACAAAAAGTGTCATTGAAGACATTGAAATTACTGTATTAAACATAATTGTATTACGAATATCAACATGTTATAACGTTTCACTTAAAACTATGTTAACATCAAGGGATCAAATATATGCACATTTCTTAGTCAATCAACCTGCTCTGACGAAAATACACAAACCAGAATAAAAACAAAATGATTTAGGCTTTAGTTTCAAATATTTTTATTTTATTTTCATTCATAAATATTTTTAATTATTAATGCATTATAATTGTCACTATTATTCCTATTCATTCATATGTTCATTTATTTTGTTTAACTAGTTAACTCTGCTACCTACCGAACAGAAAGTATTGCGTCAGAGGATATTACGTTACTGATGCCGGACAGAAATGAAATGGAAAGTGTTGAAGTTCAAAAATGGCACCTAGTATGTACAGCGCTGTATTTTTTCTAATTTTCAATACTATTTTTTTATCTTCAATATATATCAAATAATGTGGTTCTCTGATAAAACCTGTCATAACATATTGTCAGGCGTATAATGGTACTGGATGTTTGTGTTATCAAAATACTTGTATATCATAACATAATGTCCAGACCATTATATTCATTATATAAAAATGAATGAAAATAATTGTCATCCTAAGAATTACCGACACACATATTTAAGTATAGTTTTACGTGTAACTGTGCATTTTGCCTTTAAATGGTGAGACATAAAGCGGTGCGGGTTCATATTGTTTACGAGGATACACAGGTTTCAACCTAAAAAGACAAGAGTGAAATTCACATTTACTTCTGCTCAGTTATCATAGCAAACAATATTTTTCAATAGCAAAATGATATTAGAAGGAATAACAGGAATATGAATGCAATAAATAGTTTCCTCAATATACTTGGTGGTAGAAAAGCTCTGGGAATATGATGTTTACTGTAAAATAAGTTATAGTAAGTCTCTAAAAGTATTTTTGTTTTGCATAATTTGAAATTTACTTTTATCTTTTTATAATAGGAAACTTTCTCGGTGAGTACACAACTTAAATGTATGCTTTGGGTTGCATATATACACAGCTGCATATGCTTTAATTGTAAACGCAGGAGTCTTGGCGGAACAGCTTGGAATAATGAATAAAAGTGTGTAGAGGATTACATACAGTTGACACATTTAAATAATAATTCTTTAATTGTAAACGCAGGAGTCTTGGCGGAACAGCTTGGAATAATGAATAAAAGTGTTTAGAGGATTACATACAGTTGACACATTTAAATAAAAAGAAGGTTTTGGGTTTATATCGATAATCAATATACATGTACCAAGATTTATTTAAATAAAAAGGTAGTTCAAAGTAAACACACAGACATAGAACTCAACAATAATTAGAATCGTATAGTAACTAAGTAAAATAATAGAATTCGGCATTCATTTTCTATAGGAGGAAGTTTGTTTGCATAAATAGTCGTTAGACAACTCTGTTATAGTTCTAAATCATGCCTTAAACAAAAGTACACATATCCATCCTTTGAAAACATATCTAGAACTAAAGCATCATTTAAATGGTAAAACAAACAATTAAAGCAGCTGCATAAGACGCAATTTATCAGAATACCATTAATGTAGGAACACATGTTCAAATTAGAGACTGAGGGTCACGTGTAATTTCAAGTTGTCGGAAAAGTCAATAATTCAAGCTCCAAATTGGCGTTAGTAGCAAACTAAACGATTCATTATGAAGAATACGTCGATAAGTTATATATTTTAGATCATTTAAGATTTTTAAGGTTTATTTGTAATTTTAATGATAAATGAAGTACTTTTATTAATGTATTGGAATACAGCACATGTATAACATTACACCATTATTAATTTAATAGTTGTCATTTTATTTTACTGAATAGTTGAAATGTTCTCTACGTTAAAAATATTTTGCAGAAAATGTGTTTACTTGTATCTAAAATGATACATAGAAAGATTAATAAGACTATATTTATAAGTTAATTTCATATATGACGGAACTAGTATTCAGATACAGTCTGCTCGTATTGGTTCAATTTTCATAAAGCAGCATAAACGGAACGTATTTCATTTGAAAACATGAGAGTTTACATATGTTCCTGCCGAATAAATAATAAAGAAATCTGATTCATTAATTTTGTGTTATGAAAAAAAGGAAGGAAAAAAACCAACTGCACTAACTCTATTTTAGTCGAACCTGCCGGATGATGAAAAGTCTAATAGAGAAGCAGATTTTGGAGATATATTTTTGAATCGATTATTCCATACAAAGGTAAATAATTTAATGAATGTCTGGAGAAGGAACACCTCACGAAAGTACCTGATGTGTAATGCATTTGTGATTTGCAATGTCAAAATTTGATTATCTCTCGCCATCACGAGTTGGTTGGCCGGTACAGAAAATCTTTGTCTCAATTATGTTTCAATAGTCTAACCACATTTCCGTCGCTTTTTACACGATTATGATTGGTTAAACAAATTCATCCACAATATCAGAGCGCGTTTATACTACAACAGACTTGTCAGAGGCGCTTATAAAAGTAGGCCAAGTCTAATGAATTCAAAAACGCATTGAAAACCAAAAACTCCAACAATGTAACAATTCTGGCTTTGGCTTTCTCTGAGCTCATTTTAGAGTTTTAAGTGATTTTAATATTTAATATGTTTATAAACAATGCCTTTAACAGAATTGACCGCAGTTTGGCAAACAAAAATGACATCCCTAGTAGACTAAACGCAAACTATGTCTATAGTTAATACGGGATACTGTGAAAATTTCGTTCAAATGAATAATATCATTAAGATCAGTTGTAACTTAAAAGTATTTACTTAAAAATAAAATCTAAATATAACCCTCAAAATGCTATATAAGGACATTTGCATACTGTATTATAGTTACTGCTGTCCGATTACATCGATTCTACATTTGAGGGGTTGCTAGATCCACAGACAACATCCATATCCATTCGATACTTCCTCTGGATGCTAGATAAACTCGGTAAGGGTGCTGGAGTTGAGGAAGATGTTCTCCAGTCATGGAAAAACGAATGGTGAGAATTTACAGCCTTAAGCAATTGATCATTTTCTTATGTAATCAATAAAAATAAGTATTCCTTTCTTTTAAATTAAACACTGTCAATTTGTCCCTTTCATTAATTTCTACTTACAATGCTCCTATATTATTATGGAAATCTATATGCACAAGAAGCACCACAACAATAATATTTTAACATTTCTATCAAATAATGAAATAGGTTTATAAACATGCATAAACATTTCATTAGCGTTTTCGAAAAACAAATATGAGAAACAGCAAAAAACGACAACCACTCAATTACAGGCTCCTGACTTGGGTCAGGCACATATATAATGTGGACTAAACTAGTCTGAAGGCGCCAATCCCCCCTTCCCCTTAACCTGGGACTGTGGTGTAACAGTGCAACATAAGTACACACTATAAAAATCCGTTGAACAGGGATTAACTCATCAGATCAATACTAAGCAGAAATACATCTAACAAAAACACAGACCAAACGTGGCAGGTTACTTAACATATCATCCCCATAACAAAAAAGACACTATCTAAGAACAGATCTGAGAGTACTTGCAGTTACTGACAGCTAGTTCAAACCATTGACAACTAATAAAAACACCTTGCATGTTCAGGACGAGAACAAATTTTAAACAATTAATTCAATAAGGTGTTATTATCTTATTATATAACCCTTTAATTATTGCTGATCGTTCATTAAAAATCTATCGGCGACAACATATCAATATTAAAAACAATCTATGTTGCACTAGTAGTATTGAGGATATGAGAATTGTTTGACAACATTTGAATGGTAATACGTATTACAGAAAAGACAGTAATCAATGCATCATATTGTCAAACTAATGGTAAACGGTTATAAGCAGCGTTACTGAAAAATTCAGATTTCATTAGGGGATTGATTTTTGTTTGCAAGACGTTGTTTGTCAAATTTGAGTGAATATTCAAAACGGAAATATAATGCATTTAAGGAACAACCCTTTGATTTAAAAAGGGAGGGGTTGTATGGTTTTTTGAAGGAAAAAAAACGAATTCCTAATGGAAGAAAAATAAATAAGCTGTCGCAGCATTGACCACACTATTCTCTTTTACAAAATGAAATAATATTTTGTCTCAACTTGGGAAGAAAAATAATTTGGTTTGATTGTGTCCATCTGTTGAAAAAAAATGCATACCAATATAACCCCCTCTTGAAGTTAAATCTTCTTAATAAGTAAGCGAATATTCTATTTAGCTAAAAATAAAACTGATGTTCAGTATATTCAAACCAGTAACCCCAAATGTGCAATCTGACTTGCAATTTGTTAGCAAATATATCACAAACACAACCACCCAATAATAATGATAACATATTTGACTCAATCAACCATAAAAAGTTTTTACAAATTGATTTGCTCGCGTAATGTTATGTGAGTTATGCATTTTCTTACACAATTTAATGTTCTTACAAATATTCTTTCATGTACCATCGATACGTTCAAAAACGCTTTAAACGCTTTAAAACCCCTTAGCAACATCTAGGACTAATATATTTAGTCAAATTGTCCCAGGTAAAACGACCAAAGACAAAGTATTAAAAAAATAATGATTAAACTTGTTTCAGTTTCATGCAATTCATATAACTTCAAAGTAAAATATAACAACTTGCTGCCCGATAACTTCAAAGAAAACAACATTTCAAAACCAGGCATTGCATGCTACTTTATAATTAGTTTAATACTGGTAATTTTAGCACTTGAATGCATGCAGCGTTTACTTACAATCAAACTTGTTGGCGGGTATCCAATTGTGTGAACATAATACGTCAATTTGATTGGCTAAAATGCATTATAGATAAATATGAAGAAAAGCCGCGGGTGAATTAAAATCAAATAGGCATTCTTTTAATAACTGTCGAATAGAACCGCACGAGTCCGACCTATACATGTTAGAGCATACAGTATCTGTTAAGTACGTTCCATATCGCTAACCGACGTCGAACTGTTGAATACCAACAACCAGGAACCATTTTTCATCGAGTTGTATAATCGCTCTGATGTGGATCAAAACGGAATTTATATATTACGTGGATTGTTATTGATGACGGGATGATATTTTTTGGATCATATTTGTAGATAATACAAGGATTTAAAAAATAGATAGTCCTTGGTTTCCATATTAAATAACATGAATTATAAAACTTTCAAGGAGTAAAAAAGTAGCCCAGGAAGAAACATCAACAAACCAGAACATTTCCTTCTGCCTTTTTATACTTTTCGCTCGTCGCTTATTGCAGCTGTACAAGTAGTAATAGTAATTATAGAAGTAAGAATTTTTCGTATTTAAAAACCTGGATTGACGCGTTACCAGTGTTTTCAGTGAGATGAGATAGCAGTCATTTGAAAATATTTGTATCATGTATCAAATAAAAAGATTAATCATGACTATATGCATATCATGTATATTCAACAACACGATAGCTACACAATCTTTAATTTTCAAAACTTCGAGACCCTATTACCCAACAGCAATATGTGCACAAAACAAGTATTTAGACCGAAAACAAGGAATGAACTACTAATAAATGCAAATATAACTATGAATTTACAGTTCATTTCAATAATATAAATAATTTCAAACAACAACCTTTCAAATCATTTGCACAACACATAAATGTTTAAGTTTACTATATATTTACAAAGGTTTCTCATATATGAAAATTTCCATAATGCCATTATATTTGGAAAGCTTAAAAATTAATCACAAATGATAAGGTTGGCTATTACTTTATGTTGGTCTGAAATATGTAAATACTTAATTATTTGCTTTATCGGGTCACCAGGTCCAAACTTAAGATGCCTCACCATATTTGCATATAACGGTATGCAAATGAAATACTGCTTATACCTTTACAAAATTTAAAATTTAACTTTGACACAAAACCTGTAAAATTAAAACAAAATATCAATATTAAAGAAACATTTAGTGCATTTAAAAGATAAACGAAATATCAACTTTTAATTAATATTTTCTCAAGCTATACATCATTTTAAAAAGTCATATATGCATGCACTAAAAAACATAAGCATTTACTTACCATTGCAAATTCAACTATTTCCATACAATACTACACGCCAGTAAAATTTAGCGCATGGTCACGTTTAATAACGGTGTGATTTTTTTTTATTTGTATTGAATTCAAAACGATTGTTCAGGATAGAGAATCGTACCGAGTTCACACAATTTACCCACGTTTTATATGATATGTAAAAGGCGGCCGCACCTACCTGCAACACCATGGATGTTTATGGGGAAATATTTAGATTTATTGTCAACAAAGATAGCACAAACATATTCACAGCCTAGAAAAGTTTATCTTAATATGTGCCTTTATTTATGTTTATCATATTTTTACATACGTATGTAAATCGATCTTTTCATGCAGTACATAAAATTAAAACACTGTTTTACGTTTTTTTATTTTGAATAGGACAATGACAGTCTTATGGAATTAATCAATCGTTAAAACAACTTGTTTTTCAGTTATGCTACACGAGTTTGGGCTCCATTGATTGGTAAACCTGACATACTTTTTGATGTTATGGATACTGATCATGTTGAACCATGCATGGATATTTTGAGACAGGTGTTTGTGGAAAGTTGCACCCAAACAACCCACAAAATTAGCAAGGTTTGTTTTTGTCTACAATAAAAATTGATTGATTGGAATCAAGCACAGTCATGTGCATGTATTGACAAAATTCTCTCGTACCAAGTATTTAATTAAAGAGATATCTAAGTTATCAGCGGTAATGCTATGCTATTGAATTAAGCATAACAACTGTAGCTTAGTAAGACTTTATATAAATTATTCAAATCATTACCCCTAGTATCGTACTCGATGTATCTGTCAAAACACACAAATGGTTAAAAAAATGATACATTAAAACAAATAAATACAAAGCCTATCATTGCAACGGATGTAATACGATATTCTCTTGTCGAAACTGGAAAATGTAAAATTTAAAACGCGAGTCCTGTTGAGTGTTTGGAATACTCAACATTTAACCACTGAGGAAGGAGAAATGTCGTATCGAATGGGATACAGTGATACAGTGATATAATATGTTTCAGTAATGAAAGAGAGGCGAAAGATACCAAAGAGACATTCAAACTCATAAGTCGAAAATAAACTGACAACTCCATGGCTAAAAAATAAAAAGACCAACAGACAAACAATAATACACAAAACACAACATAGAGAACTAAAGACTGAGCAACACGAATATGTAAGCAGATCTCTATTTTCAATGCTATTTGATGACATCGTGTTCTTTGTATTTGACATGAGGCATAAGAGATATATTTATAAACAGCACAAATCATCATCATAAACAGGTTGTAACACATACTCCAAATGAACAAAAGAAAATCAAATATTAAAGCTGACGAATGTCTACTTTTTATAAAATAATTAGTCTGAAACTTTAAGAACTTGTAATGCAAATTTCAACTATTCAACTGAAAATAAAGTAGCTTTTATTTGTATTTTGTTTACCCAAAAGGAGTCATCAACACAGAAGCTTTTATTCCATAAAGATATACCAAGGTACCGAAAGCTTATTGGCGCTTTCTTCATCCGACTAGAACCAGTTAGTGACCAGGATTTCTGGGGTGAAATGGACGAATGTTCAAATGTAAATTAAAAATATATCTAATATGTTTAACATACAAATAGTATAGCCAAAAGAGAATATGTTAATAATTCACGTTACAGGCCCTTGAATTCGAATATCAAAAAGGTTTACTTATCTTCAAAACATATCTACCACAAGTTTATTCTGTCAAATATCAGATTATTTTTTTTGGTACTTTTGCCATGCATTGTTCATGTTGTTGCTTTTAGGCTTCAAAGATGTTGCTTTTAAATTAAAACTGTATAAGACTTCCAAAAAAGCCTCATTTTTTAGATCTAATTATGAAAATTATGCGACGTGGTCTCACACAAAAAGATAGTTTGCTATGAAATTTCTTATACACAGCTATTAGTGTTTGTAATTTTTTTTTAGGATTACGGCCTCAACTCGTGCATGACTCTATAGGCTCAATGCCGTATTTGGTCAAATATCTCAACTCTAACATGCTTATGTTGTCATAGTGTCCTTACAACAGACAACTTAAGTTTAAAACATTTGACATCATAACATTTTATTTGTTTATTGATAAAACTTTTAACATTAATTTAATAATTCATTACAAAATCCATACAAACATGTACCACAATCCTTTTATAAATTACAGTTCCTTTTATTGCTGTTTTTCTTCTCGAGGTCAAGTGATTTTTTCAACAGAAAAACAGTTCATTTCTCTAGAAGATCAAGGCCCTTTTCATTGCATTTCTGTAAATGATGAATAACAACCTGTTTCTATTATTTTAAAAGAATGTTTTATTATTGACTGTTGAAAGATTTTTTTTTTGTTTTTAAACGACAAAGCAATAGACAAAATAGCAAAATAGCAACTTTTCTAATTAAAATGTTTGTTTTTTTCAGAAACTGAAAGCGGAACTTACATTTAGTCGTCAAGCAACTCTTCATCAGCTGTATAATTTGTTCATTGGAAAGCACAAGAATGAAGTAAGCAATACATATCAAGAAATTCCGACCCTGAATCAAAATACTATGATTATGTTGTCTTTGTAGTTATGACAATGACTGTAAAAAAGGATAAGACGATATTTAGGGGCAATCTTCGAAAAACATACAACTAAAAAGTCCAAATACACACTTAATGTGAAAATACAGATTTAGCTACACGAATCCCGACGAAAACTGTGTTGATCATGTGTGCTTTATGAATGATAGGCGGTTTCTGCCCTATACTAGTTGAAAAAGGTTCCACTACGATTTCTGTGGTGAAATGGACGAAGTTAAAATTGTAATACGTAACAGTTAAGAACTAGACAATAATGTTTTGGGCAACGTACAAATTTATGCCTCCTTTTAAGAGAACACGTTTGAAGTACAAGACCCTACATATATTACAGTACTACGTTTACTTATATGTCTCAATTATCGTAAAACATGTATCATTGTATCCCTTCAGAGATTCATATAATACGAGCTGATAATTAAATATCCATACGGCATGAAATATAGTGCTGCCCCCTGTCTTGATTTTTGCATATTCTCTATGATATCTTATATAAATATGTGGAATATAACACTTAGTATGATCGTCAAACTTGTCATAAGTCTTTGTTTGTTCATGCCTATATAATACAAAGTAAAACTATAGGTTTTTTTTAATTAATTCCGTTGAAATACTAGTAATTACAAATTATGTCTATGAAATGATATGTGAGATTCGATTTATTGATTGATTGATTGATTGATTGATTGATTGATTGATGTTAACTTAACCTGTTATGCATATTACGAACGACTACAAATAAACAATTAATACAGAAAGTACATGTAGGTTCTGCAAGATTGGTCAATCCGGATAAAAGGCAGTACATTTAGACTGACAATGGCAAACTAGGTATGTTGGATTGGGTAAGGCTTTCTATTATCCCTTCAGAGAGTTGTGTCAATGGTTCTCTAGCGTGTAAAGGGTGTGGTATTTTCACTACACAAAGTTTCATATTTTTTTTCCAATTCCAACTTAACAAGGCTACGTGTATGAATGCTTACATTACAGTTAGCTAAATACACGCCCATCTTTATCCAGGGTTAAACGACTGGACACTGTCTGTAACATACATGTATTAGTAATTTCATTTTCTTCACAAAATAATATATTTTAGATTATGGAAGATTTTGAAGATATGGAAGAAAATAAGGACCTTCAATTCGCCAGTAAACTCCAAGAAATTATCGAATTGATGGATGATTCATCAACTTAATACACGAATATGTTGTAAAGACACAGGAACAATGAATGAAAGACAACTTTTTTATATTGATTGTTATGTTATTACCATTCAAAATTATATGACATTTGATTATTCTCATTCAAAATTATATGATATTTGAAAATCCATGATCTCCTTATTGCAAATTCTTCTCAGAAAAGACAAACTTCATTGTGTAAGTTCCTTTCAACTGTTACTAGATTATAAAATAAAGATATAACTATTCAATAACCAATTATAAGTCTGTTTACCGCATATCAAAGTTTACACACAGAAATTTAAAATTAACTTCCTGCGTGAATATCTTTTTCAGTGAAATATCTGCTCTCTATTATTTCTCAGTCACACAGCTAGGGTTATGTCTTTTCAAAGCGAAAAACATTTTTTTCACTGTTTGTTTTTATAAATTTCTGTAATAGGTTTAGATATATATTTACTTTATGTTAAGCCGAAATAATTCCAACATCGTATGATATGGTAATGGTATTCACTTTAAAAATTGCATCTACCAAAATTTCATTATTTTACATGCAGACATTTTCATTTCGGCTGATTAACATTTGATTTACATGTTACATGCGTATTTTGAAATTTCACACATTAAAAAGTGTATTATAAAAAAGCAACTTTGTGATGGATCAAGCTGTTTTCTTATCTGATTTTTCAGGAGAATAAAATATTTATTCCTCAGAAGATTTTTAACTGGGAATTTTTTTTACACTCATTTGATTTTTTTAATATGCAATTTTCATACATTTATATCAATTGAAATTTTCATTAAAGTCACAGTTTTAATAGACATAAGAAGATGTGGTATGAGTGCCAATGAGACATCTCTCTATCAAAGTCACAATTTATGAAAGTAAACCATTATAGGTCAAAGTACGGTCGTCAACGCGGAGCCTTGGCTCACACCGCACAGCAAGCTATAAAGGGCCCCAACAATTACTAGTGTAAAACCATTCATACGGGAAAACCAACGGTCTAATCTATATAAAAAATGAGAAACGAGAAACACTTATGAACCATATCAACAAACGACAACTACTGAACATCTGATTCCTGACTTAGGACAGGTGCAAACAATTGCAGCGGGTTTAAACGTTTTAATAAGTTTATTTTCTTTTCTTCGATATATTATTATGCTTATAAATATTCGATAAGCAATTATATGACAGAATATAAATAGATTTGGATTAAAATGGTGTAGAGAGAGTCCTCTTGTGAAAAAAGATTTGATTTCAAAACAAAAAAGACTGCCTTATTCCAAATTATTGGAATACAAGTTTGAAGGTAACATGAATTTTTTTTATTTGAGAGGATACAACTCTACAGGAGCGTGTAAACCTTACGTCGATTTGAAAAAAATATCTGCTAGATATTTTACTTCTACATTTGCAAAATCGTTTTGAATTATCTGATATTTTGATTCCCTTAATCAGGGCTTTATATTTGAATGCAGTATTACTACTTGTTACAATTTTCTATAATCAAAATTTACTTACATACATTGTGTAGTACACAAACTTCGATATGGATTTTTAATATTTTATTTTTATTATATGCAATCAAACATCTTTATGGCAGTAATTGTATTTGCAATGGGATGTTCTGTATCTGTACATATGATTTGTTTTTATCAAAAATGAAAATGTTATGGTGATTTTGTGAATATTTTGATTATAAAAGTTTTTATGCTATGAATAGTTCAAGAAACAATCCTTTTTTCTGTATAATGCTGACCGGACTGAAGAGACATGTGTATTTTTTTTAATGAATTCACATGAACCTGTAATATTTTCATATAAACTGTCAATAAAATAAAACATAAATGAATGAAAAAAAGTGTATTTCATTAAAAGTGCCGTTGTTGTGTTGTTGCATGTACCTTGGTGTCGTCCATGGATGGTGATATGGTTTAATATTGGATTCTATTTTTTTCCGCAAAATAATAAAAAAAAAAAAGATAACAGAATAAGACACTACTATTTCCATGTCCTAATTATATATAAGATGTTCAATACAGGCTTACACTAGCCATATATATACAGTTGAAAATCCTTTGAAAGTTTCCTATCATGAACAAAACTTTATGTAGGATATCATAGTGGGCCAGTTGTGAGGACAATACGAAAGATATATATCTCAATAAAGACAAATACATGTATGTTTAACAAATTAAAAGTGAATATGTTATAAAAAAAAACACATCGCCGAGAACTGAATCTTATGTGAACTTACATTTACAAGGAACATAATTCAAATTGTAAGTATTTTATTCCGCAAATAAAAATCTGTATGTTGCAATAATGATATATGTTAACCGGACGAAGAAAACAATTAATTTGAAGAGGTCCTGCCAAAAAAGAAAGAATACTAGAATTCGTTATAAACATACATTGATTTATTCTGATCGAAGAAAAATGTTAGTTTTGAAAATCAGTGTGTTTCACACCAACAGTTCAGAGGTAAAATGCTAAAAACGTTGTTATACGACAATCTGTTTATTATAGAAATATAACACTTTGTCATATTTAATTTCTCAACTTAAAGATCTCTAACGGTGAACAAAGATTTTATTTTCTGCAGTAACAACCACATAGAAGACACATTTATATATCCATCTTCCAAAGGTAAATGATAAATAATAACGTACAACTATTCAAGTAATGCAATGATTTTATCATATTTTACCATTAACATGATGAATGTAAAACTTATTTTCGCATGATTGTTTGTAAAGTCGGAAGTCAACTATGACATGATTTATTCAGCAAATGAAATATCTTTATATTGCATGCGATATATGTTTTATGTCTTGACATTAAAAAAGACAAACTTCGAGATAAATTGTGTTTAAAAAATTGTGTGTCTCACGGGTGTAGTTTGACAGTAATACTTCTCGACTATTAAATGTAAAACTTACTTTATCAAGCTTATTTTGTAGGCTTTGTCGAATGCATATCAACCATGAAATGATTTATTTAGAATATTTAAAATAACAGCTGTACTATGGTGTTAAATGTAAATTATTACTGGGGTTTGCGTGTATTTCAAATTCTTGAAATTTGATAAGTTTGCAATAAGGAGATCTTGTATGATTGGTAATGAGACCACCAGTGACGTGGATGTAATCAACTATATGTCATCATACGACCTTAAACGTTGTGCAAAACATATACCGTATAGTGAATAAGCTATAAAACTCTCCACATGACAAAATGGGAAATGGAAACAAAAATAAAACGAGAAAACAAACGGCCTGATTTGTTTCTAAACCAATAAACAAAAAACACAAATGGTAGACAGTAACCAACGACAACTTAAGAATCAAAGACTCCTGGCCAGGTAGGATAGTTGTTTAACGGGACACAACATAAGAAAAAATTACTTGAAGCTCATTCAAAGTCAATTTCAACTAATAAATAAATCAAGTTTCCTTCGACTGCAATATTAACCTGTACTAATCCAACTGGTATTGGTTCATAAATAAATAATACATTTATTGATCTTGCAGAGGGAATTTATAAGGGGACGAAGAACCTTTTTGAATGCATGGTTACAGATCAATGTTAAAGCTGCATAAACTAAACTAAAATATAGAATAATGAGGTGCAATTTATTGTTGTTTGGTGATTTCGTGAGTTACACTTGCATTGTTTTTATAAAAGTTAGTTGAATGATAGAAGGTAACGAACACAGGCTGTATACGTTGAGGTTAATATTGAGAGGTTCATGTCGTAGTTATAGCTAAATTTGAACGTTGCATACTATTCCCAAAATTTTAACTTTCTATTTAGAATCTCTCAAGTATTTTTGTTTCTTTTTATTTTACAGCCATAATGATATTGATTATGTACCTCCATGAAATGGCTGGTTAAACAAGGTCAGAGGACTTCATCTCAAATTTATTTGAAAATGGGCATACTAAGGTGGCCGTGTCATTTTTCTACTTGTTCTTAATATTTGGTTTACTTCCAAGTAATTATAAACACAATATTTATTTTAATTATAATTCTGATTGAATGCATACTACATATAGTACATGTTGCTGGATTTTGATGGAATAGAAATATATTCAAAATCATCAAAATGCCAAGATCTATAAGAATTTCCTCTCCTCATAGTAATATAACTGTCATTTTTCATCCTCAATTTGTTTTTATTGTTTTTTATTCCTCCTTAGTATCATCTCTTTTTTTACGCAGAAAAAAATAAGACTGACCAACAAGAATCCCATCAAAAACCAGTGTAAACACATATAACCAGATATAGTAAGCAGATCATGTTCCATCTATTTTGAACAGGTTCACTTTTTGTTCTGACGTGGCAATTGATAGCTTTCTAAATATTACTGATTTTGCTCATAACTGTACTGAAACTTTATATTGCTGACATCTTTCATGTCTTTGTCATGTACGTCTATGGAGGGTTGTTTTTGTTTGCAATCATACCCCATCACCTTGTTTTTATAATAAATGTAAAAAAAAATCAGACATTATTAGGAGCCGCAGTAAAGACACATTTTATAAATGAATTTAGTGGTATTGATAAAAAAGTATTTGTAACGTTTAGTCTATGGAAAGGTATATACTATGAAATTTTAAGCAAGGTACTTTACAGTCTGCCCTTATTTCGTGCTGTTACAGCATTATCCAATGTTAGGCTTGGTGTTTGCTCACAACCATGATTAACCCCGTCACTTATGTCTCCAAAGTCAGGAGCCAGTTATTCAGTGGTGGTTTGTCTGTGATATTTGATTTTCGTTTATTGCGTTATCATAATTAAAACAGATTGTTTTATTGTTTGGATGATTTCACATTATCATTATGTCGAAGCCTTTAATTACTTTTTTGACTATACATGTACAAAATGTATTCATACACGTATCCGACATTCATGTAGTCTTTTACATTTTATGAAAATTCTTTAATCTTAAATTAATACTAAGAAACAAACTGATAAACAGTTTAAATTGATATTGTATCTACCATGTCTACTGTAATCATGTCAGTTAAACACAATACGATATATTTGTGAAATAGTGCGCTCTAATGAATTGACTATAAATGATGGTTTCGATTAAAAAGATACTCCCTGTCTAATATTTATTATTACATTTAAATTTTGTTGTGAAATTGCATTCCTGACGAACGGTACGTTGTTTATCTCAATAATTACAAAATGATCATTTGTTAAGTTTTAGGGAGATTAATAATTAAAATATTGCTAGTTATATGCGTGTTGTATTATCACTAGTAACATAATAAAAACCTGAAACGGTTTATCAATGTATCAATTATATATTCATGATATTATAATAATATTATTTACACCATTAATAGTATTTTTATTATGATAATACGTATTAGTGGTAGTAGTGTCCTTTATTTTATTTTTTCGTTTTACTAGATATGATAAATGTATCAACATAACTGTTCACTTCATAAATAATTTTCTATCATACATTACAGCACCCGTATTGCATATTTTTTTTTTTATATTTTAGCACACACCTTTTTGGAATATTAGATGTTACAACAGCTAATATGTTACCAATTATACTTATTCACGCAACTGTTGTGATGACAGTGACAGCTCAAAGTAAGTCATGTTTGTCAAAATTTGATTTCAATAAAATGTAATTTTCGTTATCAAAAGTCAACCATTGTATATTGAGAGAGAGAGAGTGTGTAACATGTAACAATTGGAAATGTTCTTTTTTCTGACATTAACTTTAAACAAACGAAAAACGAATTTAGAATATTTCATTTTTATCTGGGTCACGGAAGAGGAATTCAGGTATGATAACCGTTCGACGCCGTCGGTCTATCCGTCCGTCATTAAGTCCATCCAAAAGACCTTTAGTAGAAAAATTTCGCTAAAGTTTTCATGGCTTCCATGAAAAAAATGGTTTAATATGTGGTCTGCAGATTGATAATGTTGTAAGCAATTTTTACATACGCCGTGCAGCCACTTTATGTTTGCCGATCGAGTCAAATTTTACAAAACTCATTGTACTGAAAAATTTCTTCATACATTTCTTGGTTCCTATTGAAGGGGAAGATTAAATTTGGTCTGCCGCTTCATTATGCTGAGTTGTAGCGAGTAAGCAATTTAGATATCCACCGTCCACCCAATTCCTGTTTGCCGATAGTTTGGAATTTTGCACAAGGAAAATTTCCTTCATTTCTTTTTTTTTGTAAATGAAAGGGAATGATCAGTTATGTTACATCAAGCAATTGCAAACAGGGACGCAGGTCCATACCCGGTATTGGTCTTGTTCTATTTAAATTGTAATAGTTATTACGTATAGTCACTATATCATCTCATTCCACTTCATCTTGGATAAATGGATTTACCAGTAATATTGAATGCACAATACGGCCCTATTCGCACTTACCCTTTGCCTATGAAGTCATATCGATTCTTCGAAAAATAATGAATAAACAACAATCACTGCCAATAAAAACGTTGGTACATGCACATATATTACAATCACAACTTCCGACTTGTTCATGTTGTTAGACTTGAATATGATTGAAAGTCATATAGATAACGTAATTAATGTATGTTGAAAGTCCTTCAGATATTCAAATTGAGAGCTAGTTGATATTTTGACAAATTAGCAGTTGTAAGTTGATATCAGAAAAAATATGTACAAGTTGAGTGTACAAATGTAACTTCAGGAATTGTTTAGTCTAATTATTAACATACACTGAATCAGGTGTTGTGATGGAGCAATGTTGTGTGTGTGTGTGGGGGTGTTTATATGTGTAAATGTCAAAATTATGTATGAAAGTTTAACATTGATGTTAAAAATTATATGTTAAGAAAGAAAGACTATCACATACATTGATTCATATGCTGCCGAGTGCTTAACATCCTTATCCACATAAAATGTTTAACTATGGAAAGGAACGGTTTCAAAGTTTGTTTTTAATTATTTACATGTATTACAGTTTTTGCTGTGATTTGAGTTGCTCATTCTTTAGTTTTCTATGCTGTGGTTTGTATATCTTTGTTCGTCTTTTGGTCGTTTATCGTTTTATGCAATGGCGTGGTCAGTTTATTTTCTACTAATAAGTTTTAATGTTCCTTTGATTCCGCCTCTTCTTTTTTTTTTCTTCCGACAGCACCATGATGATATTTAAAGTATTTTTCATGGCAGCATTATAAACAACAAAGATTTTATAATCTTTACAAGAAAGAATAGTTTTTGCTCTTATTTCACAGAAAACCTAACACCATTTGGCAATGCAATGCAAAGTTCACAGTCTGGTACTGGTAAGGGTATACCAGAAAATGCTATAAATCCACCAATATCGAATGAATATGATCTGGAAATATGTTCACAAACAACAGAGTCAGGATATTCAACGGCATGGTGGATGTTCGAATTTTCTTTAGGCACGGCATACATTGAAAATATCGAAATTTACTACCGAGAAAACTGTAAGTGTTATCGACTAAAATATATATATTTGAAATAAAAGATTATATACAACATGATTAAAGAATGTCTTTCACTGTTTTTATAGCATTTTAATATATTTTGTTTTGTTATTTTCTAAATCATATTTCATTTTAGATTTTGTCAGTCAACTATGATATAGACAAAACATATTTTTACTGTTGCTGCTTTTCAATATATTGATATTTTCATGATTTAGTATACTGTTATTTTGAAACAGAATTATAAGACATGGTAATACACGTGCTTTTAAATAACGACATAATATGTCCCTGTTCTAAATATGTCTACCGTATATAAGTATGTAGTTATATTTTTTTCTAAATAAGACGATACTTATGAGGTTGAGCAATCGCATTACGTATATATATACGTTTAAAAAGTAAAATACCCAAAATACCGAACTCCTAGGAAAATTCTAAAAGTCTAAAATTCTAAAAGTCCCTAAGCAAGTGGCAAAAAAAAAGCTCAAACACATCAAACGAATGGATAACAACTGTCACATTCCTGACTTGGTACAGGCATTTTCTTATGTAGAAAATGGTGGATTAAACCTGGTTTTATAGCTAACTAAACCTCTCACTTGTTTGACAGTCGCATAGAATTCCATTATATTGATAACGATGTATGAACAAAACAAACAGACATAATAGGTAAAAATGTCAAAAATAGGGGTACACCAGTCAACATTGTGTTATAATCCTAATCACTACAAAAACAAGCAAATATGTCAACAAAGACAAACAAAAAAGCATATAGACAAAGCACATTAGCAAAAATGAAAGACGAGTATAAGTCACGTCGTCCATAATATGTAGCCAAAACTGCAACTGAAGTGATGTTTTTTTATTTAAGTTTTGGAATCACTTATTCTTTACAATAATATATTTTGTCAACCCTTTTGTTCGGTTTCATGTTTTTTTTAAACATTTTGTACAATTGCAATTTTTTTTCTATTTGTATAATACGTACGAATTTTGTCTTCATTGTCTTACCGGAGATATGATCCTTTACACGTCATATGTTTCATCTATATCATATATTTAACAAATATGTATGTCAATGAATACAGTGATCCATTCAAAGAAAAAACAAAAAAGGACTATTTGCTTACAAAAGAGCTATGGAATTTTCCTATTTCAAAACTTTCGGAATTCCGACCAAGGTTCAGGTCGCATTTATTTTCCAATTTCTTATCATTTTTTGTCCCCATTGCATAGTTTGTCAATGTATATAGTTTTGAATCTCGTCGTGACGTCATTTAAATCAAGAATAAATAAATCGAATATACTCGATCTCCTATGTTGGAGGTGACTAACATCTACAAAATAAGAAAACACGTGTTGGTTTGTTTATTTATTACTTAGCAGTTCTCGTGTGTTTTTCATGCTTTGAAACACTAATTACCACGAAATTTTAAAAAAAGCTGTGATGAATTATTATTTCTTTTTGTATAAATGCTTACTGAAACGTTCTTTTATTCAAATAGTCATGAAATGGAATAAAAGACAACGTAAACAAACCAACACGTGTTTTCCGGTTCGAGTTATCGATCTTGTTTTTACGACGTCGCGACGAGATTCAAAATGGCTGAACAAAATAGGCGGAGACGTATACAAAAGGTAATAGTTAATTAATAGTGTCAAGGAAATGAATATTCAAACATAAATAGGTACGTCATTTCATAAAAAAATGTCTAAAGACACGAACTGTATACATTGACAAGCTGTGCACGGGTGATAGATAATAAAAACATTGGCAAATAAGTGCGATCTGAACCTGGGTGTCAATTTCGAACGTTTTGAAATAGGAAAAATCGGTAGCTCTATGGTCCGCAAATTGTCAAAAAATATCATAAGGTCCTATGAGCTACGGTTCCGCAGCTAACAAGATTATATATGATATTCTAAAAACTGTTAACTGTACATTTTCAACTATTCGGTTTATAACTAGCTCACACCGGACAGCAAGCTATAAAGGGCCCCAAAAATGACTTGTGTAAAACCATTCAAACAGGAAAACCAACGATCTAATCTATATAAAAAACGAGAAACGAGAAACACTTATGAACCACATCAACAAACGACAACCACTGAACATCAGGTTCCTGACTTAGGACAGGTGCAAATAAATGCAGCGTGTTTAAACGTTTTAATAGGCGCCAACCTTCACCCTACCTGAAACAATAGTGTAACATCACAACATAGAAAGACACACTATAAAATATCAATTGAAATGGCTTAACTCAATCAAAAGACATATTAACAAAAACAAGTGAACATACACTGAACGAATAAATTTGATCTATGACACAATGTAAATACAAAATTAATAAAACAAGGGGGTTAGAAATAAAACAATATCAGAAAAACAACCATAACCTTGGATAAAATGCCGCCAAATAAAATAACGTACACAGGTAAATACAAATAATTTTGTTGTAAGGTATACATGGAGTACGGAAATAATTTTTACAAAATAAATATTTTTGTTGTTCCTAGTACGAGAACAAACTAAACTAAATTAAATTGTTCACTTGTAGTTGTATCTATGAATCATTTCAAATATATAGATCACGTGCCCTCCGCATTCTTTTATCTTTTAAATTGTTGCAAAGATTTCAAGCATTATGCATGGACACAGCATTCTGTATGTGTATGGCTCAAGTCAGGAGCCTGATATTCAGAGGTTGTTGATGTATACTATATTTGCGGTTAGTTAGTTTTGTACATACATCAGGCCATTAGATTTCTCGTTTGAATTGTTTTACATTGGGGTTTTTTCGGAGCCTTTTATAGCTTACTATGCGGTATGAGTTTTGATTATAATTGTAGGTTGCACGATGACCAACCGTTGTTAAATTCTACGTCATTTTGTCTATGAAGGAGAGTTGTCTCATTGGTAATCATACACTTCTTCTTATTTTTATACATGCTTTAATATCAAACTAATGAGACCGTTGTTTACAAAAAAATATCAATCTCTGATCACGATTTTATAGGATAACAATGTCGGTATCGTGCTATCAATAATGATGACACTGTAAGGTTTCAATTAAACAATATCACTATCTTCATATTATTTTCCTTCTATTAACATAAATATGCAGGTAAACATGTATTGTTTTTCGTAATATGGACATTAAATGATTGATGAATGGATGTTTAACACCCAATAGCTAATATGTTCAAACGATAACAAAATGCACGCGTCTTCATGCTAACGTAAAATCTTGATTGACGAAAATGGAAAACAATAAGATGGTGTCTGACAGATCCGGTAAGCTGGCAAAATTTGAAGTATCACTATGCAGTTTTAACTAGTATGTGAACAAAACATGAAAGTTCATTCAAAATATCTGAAAGATACAAATGACTCATATTTTACAATTCATCACTTTGAAACTGTTTAAAAATTATTAAATAATTCCGTTCAACAGTGAAATTTGACAAACATATTTTTTGAAGGAACGGACGGACGGATGGTCAAACAAGGTGCTTCTTCTGTAGACAAGGGGTAAATACTCATTTATTTATACATTTTCAAATACATCATCCTCAAGTCCACGTTCTGCTTTATCCAATGTTAGTGCTAAACTGACACGTGTCGTTTAAGGAAACTTACCAAAATTAAATAAGAAAAGTTCAAAACATAAATACATGGCTTTGAACAAACATAAGTTAACTACTAGTACTCTCAGATCTGTACTTTGTATCGATTAAATAAGCCAAGCCCTTTCTAACTAATTCTAAATAGTATGGTTGTATGTTGTGCTGTTACACCACTGTCCTAGGTTATGGAGTTGATTGCGCGCCCGCAAACATGGTAAACCGTGACATATATTTGCTTACCTCTACGTCGGAGATCTGTCTCATTGGCAATCATACAACATCAACTCATTGAAACTAAAATTGCTGTTTGAATTACAGGTATCTATTGTATTCTAAAGACACATTAGTTTATTTTGGGAAGTGACGTCGGTCGAAGCAGAATTTTATACAACATGTAAAATTTGCAGTTTCAAATCAAAATACATTGATCAGCACCATGTAGAGCCAATTGTTCTTTTGCAATTTTGTTTCAATATTACTATATTAGCAACATGTAGAGCTGAATTGCATTCTGTATTGTCAAATATTTGACAATGAAAAAGACATTCAGGAAAGAAGCAGTCCCTTTTTAGTGTTCTATGCGTTTACTTTTTTTGTTTCATATAGTTATTAAAAATTTGGACATTGACCACTCACATGTTTAAACCCGTCTGTAGTTCAGTTATAGCGTTGGTTGCTGTCTATCATATTTTTTTCATTTATTGATTAAACATATATTGAGTTGTTGCTTTCCTTGTTATATTTTATGAATAAAATGTGACATTTGACAAAGAATGTTAAGATATTATATAGATAATTACTGACGATGTTATTGACATCTAATATGAAGCAATGAAAATCAGCACAGGAAATAACTTAATCGGTAATAAGAGTATAATTACAACAAAAACCACAAAGCACATTTACAACCGAAACAATAATAAACAATACCATACTAAAAATACTCTAAGCTACTTCATTCAATCGCAAATAACCTGCCGATATGTATTCACACAATCCTCTGATATATGTGAGTTATTAAAATTCACACATCAACGGTCATAAACAACACAGCAAGACACAAGTTTGTTCTGTTCTGGGGTTTTGTCAACTTGGTTGTTGCGGGTTTTAGCGGACAAACTTGACCTAAATTTTTGAAAAGGTCCTCCGAATAACGCTTTGATTACAGTTGAATAATTAAGGGCTATTGTAGCATCAAAGGTAAATACTTTATAAACCTTCAAATTATTGATTTTGATAACTTTGAAAAAGCATTATATAAAATAAAACTTGATACCTATACATGTATCACAGAATAAAAAAGGATGGATGGATTTAAATATGTGACCAATACATCAACTTTTTCTCCTGATGGTTATCACTGTTATGATGATTCCGGTGTTTCCAACATTACCCAAACTATTCCGTGTTATTAACTTTGATCTTCATTTTTTCTATATAATACTAGCGGAGAACTAAATTACAGACCATATATTTACTATATATATTAATAACTTTGGAATACAGCTATAAAATTAAATTGGTTTACTTTTCTTTCAGATGCAGTTCGGATGAATGGATTTAAATTATATGTGACCAATACATCAACTTTTCCACCTGACGGTTATCTCTGTTATGAAGATTATTATTCTCCTGGAGGTCCTTATCCAAACATCCATCAGACAATTCCTTGTAATCAACTTGGAAAATATGTCATTTATTACGATGATATAGGATCTGATGAAGGAAATATCTACGGACCTATTATTGAGTTATGTTACGTTGCCATAAATGGTGAGTTATTTGTTATTTTGTCCTTATTGTAATTTTTACTCTCACATATTTCATCATATTCATTTGAATTTACTAAATTTCTTTGCAACATTTGGTGGAAAATAAAAAAGGAGATCTGGTATGATTGCCTATGAGACAATTATACATAGATGAGAGGTTTGAATAATACCAGATCACCAAACGGCCTTCCTTCAACAATCTACAAAACCTAAATAAAACCAAAGAGTAAGTTTTCGAAATCGAGTATGACAATGAAAAGAGAACACTTCAAGTCTGATTTATGCCATTCAATTATCTGTCTACTACATTATTGTAATTCGCCAAGCGTATTACATTTAGGTTTCGAATTCAAAAATTTGATCTAGCGTTCCTACAAATGAAAATTGATGATGATATATAACTGTTTATGCCAATGATACAGTAACAGCTTAACGACACATATAATTCACAAAATACATCTGAATGGCAACGTAATACAGAAGAAATCCGAAGGATAAACTATAATCGTGAAAGTTATAAAAATTAAAATTTTAAAGGTCAATTTTCTTTACATATATATAAACAGCAGGCTACAGACCATAGGACATACGATTGACAAAACCCGTTTTAGCTGAATTATACGGGATTGAGATTAAATCTGAGTGTCTATAAATAAGAATGTAGTATACATTTGTCAAAATAACTGAATATAATAAATCGTGCTGTTTCTTCTAGTGAATTGACTTATTTTCCCAGCGAATGTATTTCAAGCACCGACACACCACAAATTTCAAGCTTAGGATAATATTTCTTAATTACACAAGAAATTATATTTTATAATAAGTTCTGTATCCATTAAAACTTAATTTCAAACATGATAACAGTTGCAACCCGTCGGATTACCAATGATTACTTGAAGATTTGGTTGTTTCATTCTCTTCAGAACAAAAATATATATAATGAGTCATACAAAACTTATTCTAAAATCATGATTCATTTGCATGTCAATTTAGTGCATGTATGGTCTTACTGTAAATGAAAATATAACGACAAAGATTGTAACAGTAAGACCCAAGTTGATCGAAACACCTGTTAATTAAATAGGAAAATGATTAGATAAATCATTACTGTCAAAAGACTCAAACTGATGTCAAGTTAATTAAGCATATCATCCAGAATGTTTTAACTCTCAATGAATAAACAGCATATGAGTTAACATAAACATTTTCCCAATATTTGATATCGGTATAAAAATATGGAGATGAGGTACAACTATCCACCAAAGTAAAAATGACGTGAATATAAGCAATTATAGGTCACAATACGGTCTTCGACATGAAAAAAAAAAACCAAACTTGATTTCCTTAACTGTTTTAACTATGCTTCTCGGAAGAAACAAACCTACGTCAATTCTAAACCAAAAGATATGACAAGTGGGACAACTAGTCTTGTTTCAGTTTATATGTTTATTAACTTCATTGGGTTAGTCAGTTGGCTCTTCCTTATTAAGGTAAAGTTCGTCTGTTACTGGAAGTAACGTCTATAATTGAAATGCTAATGTCATTACTTCATTCGGCATATTACAGAAATATTATGGATAAAGCAAATTAGTTTAGAATTCATTCACTTAATCCTTCTCATAAATTTAATATACTTGTTTGACAATGTACTGTCTTTCTAGTAATTACAATGCCCAGTTGTCACTTTCAAAATGGTCTATCAAACACTTGATCAAAGTAAACTTTAAATAAGAAAATTGATCAAAGTAAACCTTGAATAAGAAATTTGATCAGTCATCTATTGTCACTATCAAAGTTCTTCATCAAACGCTTAGTCAACGAAAAGGTTTGAGTTCAATGTTCACAAAAAAAAATGACTCAAATACGCTTCCAACAAAATGACGGCATTGCACTTTCACTGTGCAGTCTGTGTTACTAATTGCAATAATAGCATTTACAATGGCTGCAAAGTCTGATTCATACCCTATCTTAATCTTTAACGCAGAACTGTATTTTTTCTAAATGTGTCTGTCTGTCAGTGTTTCGTATTGTTGTTTTATAATTTTATCAAGTGTTTATTTCCTATTTCCCACCACTACGAACATAAACATCGATATTTTAAGTCAATTTAGCAACATAGACCACCCTTGGATTTTGTTGGTATTCGTGTTGCTCAGTCATTATACTAAGTGTGCTATGTTGTTTTTTTTGTATACTGTTGTTTGTCTTTTGGTCATTTTCCTTTTTTTTTGCCATGGCCTTGTCAGTTTATTTTTGGCTTACGAGTTTGAATGTCCCTTTGGAATCATTCGCCTCTGTTGTAGAAATGGTTAATATAAGTATCGAAAGCTTCTATATAATATGACGTTGATAGAAAAATCGTTATATGGGACTGGATATTTGTAGGATGCTTCAAAGGTACCTGGGGAACAAATTGTTCAGATGCATGTCCACCAAAATGTACAAACCAACATTGTTATCCTGCAAACGGTTCATGTGTTTGGGGGTGTGATCTGCAGAATTGTTTAAATAACATCTGCGATAAACATACAGGTGCTTGCAGTGAAGGATGTGTACCTGTATTTGCCGGACAGTTCTGTAACATTAGTAAGTATTGTTAATACATGTTTGTGTTTTTGATAAACCAGTTGCCTAGAACGACTATTTTTTTCTCTCACAAATATGATAAATATAGTAAAAACATATTACATGCAGTTACTAAGGTTTAAACTCAGTATGTAACATTTGATCAAGCTATGGAATCTGGTCTACTTACCAATTAAACAACCAATATATTTGCAAATAGATTTGACATTATCAAAACATAGTATTTATACTATTTTGATATTTTTTTTTATCTAACTGTGTGTTGTACTTTACATACTTATACTTTAAGGTAAAATAACTAAATATATATCTTATAACCATTCCATTGTTATTACCATTTTCTAAATTTAATTTGCTTTATTTGCTTTATTTGGCTTGTTCTGTCTTTTAATGCATATTATAACTAACTTTATCAGCTTTCAATATACATGATGTGAATATTCGCAATGGTGTGGTTTATGTTGTACATCGATTGTTTGTTTATGTCCTGTGTGTGTTTTTTTGGTCGTCGTTACAACTTCATCTTGCCTTATGTCATACTATTTTTTGTACTCGACTTTTAATAAAGATTATTTGACTTTTCCATTCTTACTTGTATTTCAACAATTGTAATGGACGACATCATTTTCAATGGTGTTAAAAGCAGATTTAAGTGTTAAATGAAATATGATAATTTTAATGTAGGAATAACAACATGAACGAATAGAGGTAAAGTTTGTATAATATAAAATTGCAGAAAATAAGCTTAATGCCTTCATTCAAGTTATTCGCGTAATGCCTATGCGTAGGTTTTTGCATAGGATTTTAGCTTAAAGTATAATTTTGCTCATTTTCTTAAACATATACATTCAAAACAGAAAATTCATTCTATTCTTTGTTATGATATGTATGTATTGTAGATACATTTTTATATTTATAACAAAAAGTTTGAAACAGACAATTGCGTTAAATGAGCTCTTAAATATACATCATGTTTGTAAACAATTCTTTATTTCACAGAAATCATTTCATAATGTTGATAAAGTGAGAGTACCAATTTTCTTACTTTTTTTTACTTATCATAATATGTATCATTATCACTAACTTAGTTTTTGTCTTTTTTGCAATACAATACCTGCCAATTTGTCCACGATTACATAGATAACCTAGACTCCAATGGAACAGTCACACAATCGTATCCTAATATGACAGAAATCCTGCAAGACTGTAAACAGACGAAAATGGGACATCTGGTTTTTATTCTATAACAACTAGTTTACAGAGCATCACATGTTTGACTACAGGTTTTGGTGGTAAGAAAAAAAGTTATTATTGCATTTGCTAACATAGCAAATAAAACAAAACCACTAGTGAAACGATATCATGCTGACAATGAAAATCGAACGTTAAACATAGGATCAACAACGACCGAGGTCATGAGACGAAAAACAAGCAAAGTCCTCAAAATACAATTGAAAACATTTATGACTGAGTGACACTAACACAATAAAAGACAGATGATAATCTCAGATCGACTAAGACTAAAAGCTTTAATGTTCAAATAGATGCACCCAGCGGTGTACTCGTAACAGTATAAATTGAGATCGAGTGATTGTTGTTTGTTAAATTCTAGTTGCAAATATTCATGCATACATGTATTCAGGACGATAGGTTCTACAAAATGGTTAAAAAAAAAATTAAGATTACGACTGGAAACAAGGATATCTAGAATAGGGACAGACATCTACAATGAAGCTTGCAACTAGCACCACCTACGTAACAATCGTTTTCGTCAAATTCTTTAGATATAATTGTCATTAGTATTATTGTTGTAATTATTAGTGTTACATAACTTACATACACAAATGTATGTAGCTAGATGTACAGTTACCGTTAAGCTACTGATTATCCTTAGCTTATTATACTGTTATACCTAAAAGTTACATACGATCCTGAGATTCAGAAGTAAGATGAGTAGACAACGTCTGCTAAAAGATAAAATATGATGGCATAAATCTCTTAGGATGCATAATGATGGACATATTCATTAAATTATAATTTAATCTATTTAAATGAATTCTTTTTTTTACCAGGGCAAACTGCATCAAAGTAAATAAAGGAAAACACAGTTTTTTTCTGTTTAATAAGATAATGATAGTCCTATGAAATAACTTAGTAAGTTGAAACAACTTTTGTTTCATTTATCTACACGAGTTTTGGAGCCACTAATTGGTAAACCTGGCATACTTTTTGATGTTATGGTTCCTGACCATGCTGAACCATGCAAAGCTTTTTTTTAGACAAGTGTATCTTGAACGTTGCACCTGAACAACCAACAAAATTAGCATGGTTTGTTTTTGTATAAAAATTGAAGGATTTGAATCAAGGACACCTTCATGTATTCCAAATATTCTCTCGTAAATTAGACTTAATTGACAAGTGATATATGCTATTGAATTTAAGCATGACAATTTAAGTAGACTTTATAACAACAGATGAATATAGATACAAAAATAAGGAGATGCAGTATAGAACGTTTTCCAATGCAAACAAGAATGAGACAACTATCTACCAAAGATCAAATGAACTGGATGTAAGCAACTATTGAAAACACGTACGGCCTTCAATAATGAGAAAAACACATACCGATTATATCACTCCAGATGTAATACGATATTCTCTTGTCGAAAGTTATAAATTTCAAAATCAAAACGCGAGGCTTGTCGAGCGTTTGGAATATATCCGATCTAACCATTCAATCTTTAAGTCTGTTAATTCAAGAACACATTTATTTATCAATGTATCTTTAGTTTCTTAGTACTAATCTACTTATTGGTGTAACCTTGCTTTCATATTTATTTATGTGTCTCAATTAGCTTAAACGTATTTCATATTATTCTTACAGAGATACAAAAAAAAATTCATATGATACGATCTAATAAGTTCAATATCCAATACTAACGTGTTATGCATATTTTGGACGAAAACAAATAACAATTATTACAAAAGGTACTTTCTGCAAGATAACCAGGATAAAAGGCAGTACAATTGGATTGACACTGGCAAACGAGAATATGTTGCATAGGATAAGGATAGGATATCTATTGACCTTTCAGAGAGTCATAGGGTTGTCAAGCGCGTAAAGGGTGTGGTATCTTCACTACACCGGTCATCATGTGTAATGTCAAATTTCACCAACCAAAGCTTGCATACCAGTCTGTTAAATGCATGCTCATCTTAATCTCGGGTTTCATATCTTGTTACAAAATAATATATTTTAGATTACAGAAGATTTTGAAGATATCGAGGAGAGAAGGACCTACAATTCGCCAGTAAACTCGAAGAAATCATCGAATTGATGGATGAATCATCAATTTGAAACACGAATATATTGTAAAGACGCATGAACTGTGAACGAAAACAACTTTCTTATATTAATTTGTAATAACAATGCAAATGATTATGTATCATTTAGAAATCCATGATCTGCTTATTTAAATTTGTCTTCAGAAACCAAAGGAGAAAGGTCATTGTGAAACTTCCTTTCAACTGTTACTTGACAAAAAAATTTACATCTTACATGAATATCTTTTTAGGCGAAATAAGTGCTCTTTATTATTTCTTTACATTAATTATTCACAGTCAGGGTTATTTTTATGTTTCACACATGAAAAAGTATGTTATGTTTAAATTATACATTTTGATCAATCTAAGTTTCTTTAAAGCTGGAAACTCTTGTTGTTTCACCAATGGTTTAGTTTATAAATTTCTGCAATTAGACAGAAATTTATAAACTATATGTTAACGCCAATTTCTTCCAAAATCGTAAAATATTGATGAGTATTCATTTTAAAATTTGTACCTACTAAAATATTCTTATCCTACATATACATGATGTATAAGTTTTGCTAAATACAGCTGAGGAAATCTATTCATGAGGTAGAAAAGCCAAAAAGCAACTTTGTGTTGGATCAAGCTAATTTCTGGTTTGATTTCTCAGGAGAGTAAAGATATTTATTCCTCAGATGATTTTTTAACTGATATTTTATGACACTCATTTGTATCTTTAATATGTTTTTCCATACATTTATATAATTTAAATTTTTAGTTTAAATGACAGTTTTAAGTTTACCTTTATTTGTTTTTTTCTAATACTATTATTCTGCTTACAAATATTCAATGAACAATCATATTACAGAGTATAAATTGATTTGGATTTGAATGGTGTTATGAGCGTCTTCATGTGGAAAAGTTCTGATTTCAATAGAAAGAAAAGACTGCCTTACTCCAAACTATTGGAATACAAGTTTGATGGTAACATCATTATTTTCATTGGAGATGGTAAAACTCTACAAGTGCGAGTAAGCCTTGCGACGATTTGAAAAATTTGTTCACATGCTTAATATTTAACTCATACCTTTAACAAACATTTTGAACTATCTGTTTAATATTTTGGTTCCCTTGAGTAGGGCTTTAAGTTTAATTGCAGCATAATTACTTTTTACAATTTGGTATAATCTTACATAGTACATAAGACTCGGTATGGTTTTTAACATATAATCTAATTATATGCAATCAAACATCGTTATAACACAATTTATATTTGCAATGGGATGTTCTTTGTCTGTACATACATGTATGATTTTAGAGTAAAAATTATCATTTTATCATGTTTTTGTGAATATTATTATTAAAAAGTTAACTATACTATGAATAATTCATGAGATAATCTTTTAACTATATAATGCTTCCTGGACTGAATGGTCCTGTGGTTTGTTTGTTATAAATGCACATGAACCCGTAATATTTTCATTGAAACATTCAATAGAATAATCAATGTATGAATAACAAAATGTGTATTACTTTAAATGTCGGGCCGATCTTGTAGTTGTGTTGTTACATGTACCTTGGTTTCGTCCATGGATGGCGATATGGAATTAATTGGATAGTAATCTTTCCGCAAAACCAGTTAAAACAACAGATAACAGAATAGGACCCTGCAATTTGATATGCATGTCCTTAATATATACAAGTTGTTCAATACCGGCTTTGTTTGGCCGTGTATACGCAGTGGAAAATGAAGCTCCCTTAAAAGTGTTATATCATGAAGTTTGAAAGAAAAAAAAAACATTTACTAAGAGATCATAGTTGATCAGTTGTGAGGACAATACAAGATAGATAACTCATAAAAAACAAATGTTATTAACAAGTAACATTGAAAGTGTATCTGTTATAAAAAAAAACGATAAACAACACCGAAAACTAAATCCTATATGAAAAAACATTTACACGGAACATAATTTAAAAGGTATGTATTATATTCCGCTATAAAAAATCTTTTTTTTTATATTGCAATAATGATATATGTGAACCGGACGAAGAAACCAATTGACTTGCAAAGGTACTACAAAAAATATTAGCAATCGTTATAAACATACATTTTTTTTACATTCATTTCTTCCGAACGAAATGAAAATTATTGGTCATGCAAATCATTTCAAATGCATAATACTTTAGAAGCATCACAAAACGATAATCTATGTTTATTTATTGAAATAAAACGTTTGTCATATTTGATTTATCAACTAAAAGATATAAACTGTGCAAAAGGACTTTTTCGTAGCACATAAAATAAAAAGTTTTATATGAATCATCCAAAGGTCAGCGAGTTATGATAACGACATAACCATTTAAGTCACGGACTAATTTTATCAAACCATTTTACTATGAGGGTAAAACTTATTTTTTTATGGTTATTTTTTAATTTTTTTTTCCATGTTTTCATTTGAAATCCCGGTCAACCATGAAATCTTTTATTTAACATATATAAAAAAAACCTTTTAATTGCGTGCTATTTATATCTAGGTAAGAGAGACAGACCTCGAGATATATTATATTTTAACATAAGGTGTAATATGACACTAAATGTTTTTCTTTACTATACCATTGTATATGTAACACTAATTTTACCAGTATGATTTTGTAGGCTTTGAATACATATCAATCATGACATGGTTCATTTTACATATCTAAAAATAAAAACAAAATGTGATATGGTATAACATGTATAATTTTCATCGGGGATTTACGCGTAGTTTAAATTCTCAAAATCTGATTAGGTTAATTCCTCTGAAACGTGTTCCGTTGGAAACGAATGCTTACCAGATGATTTTTTTTAATTCCCCTTGCTGTATGAAAACAATGAAATATTGGCTAAAGATAGGATCGAATTTAACGAAGGTATATAATGTTTAATCATGACATCAATTATATATCACAACATTTTTTTTTTATTTAATGGAAAAATTTGATAATTTTTTCCAATACAATTTGGGTATTAAAAGAAACCAAAAAGTTAACATAACATTAAACATATTGTCATATATATTCGAGTAGGCTCCATGAAACAACTTCTTGTCAATTGTAACTACATACAGAATAAGCGAAACAACGCTGTTTTCGCTCAAACTACGTGTCTGTTAACGTTATTCTTGAGTCCTAGAATAACGTAATAATTATGTTATTGTTTACCAACCTCTTATATGCCTCCTGTGAATGCTGTCCTTTTCGTCTCTTTCTATTTTATTGTATTTATCTATTTGATAAGATTTTAGCCCAGTAGTCAGCACTTCGGGGTTGACATGAATATCAATTATATGGTCATTTTTATAAATTAACTGTTTGCAAAAGTATGAATTATTTTAAATACTAAGGATCTTCTTATCCCGGGTATAGATTACCTTATCCGTATTTGGCACAACTTTTAGGAATTTTGGGTCCTCAAAGCTCTTCAACTTTATACTTGTTTGGCTTTCTAACTTTTTTGATCTGAGCGTCACTGATGAGTCTTATGTAGACAAAACGCGCGTCTGGCGTATTAAACTAAAAGCCTGGTACCTTTGACAACTATTTTAGGGGGGTGGGGTGGGGGATGAATATTTGTTGAGGATGCAGAAAAAATTTTGCGAACATTACATGATATATGTGTTTAGTACTAGATTGTAAAACAGTAACGTATTGAAGGTTTATGTCGAATGTGCTTTTCTAATCTTTGTTAAAATAGTGTTTTGGCTGTATAAAACACAAGACAAAAGTATTCTCTGTCTGATAATTCATTATGGAAGCACTATTTTAACAAAGATCTTGTACAAAGAAAGTACAAACCAACCATTTGCTAGATCTCCATGGGGCTTCTGACTGAATGTTGCTGCTGTATGTGTTTTGATATATTATCTATTCAATGCATTCAAATAAAACATGTCATTGTAATTTTTTTTTAATTCACATGGACAAATAAGGGTATTGTAAGCGTGTAGTTGTTTCTAACTTTATTTTATTCTATTGACCGT